GTGTATGACAACTGCAAAGTGGCGCGGAATTGATAGGTTTAATTAACCATGTCGGAGATAATTACTCTGGACACAGAAATTAGTTCGCTATGATCGCCCAACTCCATATTAAACTGGGCCAGAGGTCATTTCATTTCATTCCTCGACAGTTCGTGACAAGTGCCAAATGTGAAGAAGGGGGAACAAGAACACGACGCTGAATATTTCGGCCAAATGCAAATTATTTTTTTTTTTAAAAAATGAAAAGCGCGCACTGTGAGAAAATAAAAGAGTACGTGCGAAAAAAAAAGATTTATTTTCAAATAACACCCCCCCCCCCCACCCCCAACCCCCTGCAATATTCGTGGTCTCACTGCACAGGTTGGCAGAGAAAAAAAATGTTCTCGCATCTTATGGAAAGAAATTATTCTTAGTTATCTTAGTCAAAATAATTAACGTTGGTTAAGCGTCCGCTAAAATACTCAGTTATATAGTTGTATAGTTCGCTTTAACGCACCAGGTCCATGATAAACAATTAATGTGATCAGATTGTTACTAAAGAGCACTTACCTTTTTTTTCATTGTGCGATGATGGGTTTCCTGTTCATGGAGAGTCTTATCTGTCCACAAAGGCCTGGGTGTTCGTGATTTGTTTTGACTGGTAATTCTGGAAAGGCGAATAATATGAAATAAATGTGCTATCAACGCTATATCAAATGCAAGGATTATTATTATTATTATTATTATTATATCGTTCATACTATCTGCGTTTGTCACGGATCTGCTTATTTTACTACACTATAACATCGCCTTTACATTGATACCCTCTCAGCAATCAACTGACGGTTCAAAGTTGTTTCTATCAAACCAACCAGTTCAAACGGAACAACAACCTCCAGAGGCCATTTGTTCAGACAAGAATGGTGCAAACATGAGAAATATGGCTTCTAATAAATTTATATTAGATCATTTGCCGGATCAGAACACATTTATAGTTTCGAAATAACAATTTATTATCATTCATTTCGAGGGAACTGGTAACTGAACACTGAATGGGGAGTTCGTAGTGTTGAATATATCTTAGTTCAATTGTTCCCGCCAAATATTGGTAAAATATACAACTATTTGGATTTTAACCTTCTCAAATGAATGTTCCGTGGTAGGAGAGATAATCGATGTGGTAAGATTGTACAGACAGGTAGTGTGCTGGACAGGCTGGAGACTTCAATGTGTGAATGAGAAATAACATCAGTACAAAATAGCGGATGATGCTGGGATGAAGCTGCATGACTTATGTCAGTCCAGGTTTGACTTCTGGGGAAAGACCGCGATGATGATCGAAAACAGAAGCATCTCATACCTGTGTAGATTGGACTGCAAAGCAGTGGTGAGGACAAGATGAGGCAACACTTAATATTTTATTCCGAGTCAAAGAATGTTTCATTTTAAAAGGCAGTTGGGGACAGGCTAAAGCAATCCTATTCCCATAAGATTTCAAAACTGCTGTACTAATGTCGATGAAGAGTGCTGTGTTTGGGAAGGGGAATGTTGCCCTACCATGCAATACCCATGCCTTGCAATGCCGGATCCCCTGTGTAAGGTGCCCCACCTCCAGACACACACTATAATGTTCACACATCTGTCTACAGCAAATCAGATGAACCTGCGCCAGCTGCTGATGGCATATCACAGGGAATACCGGTACTGGGGCTGCCCACCCCTCACACACACACACACACACACATACACACACACATACGCCACTAATTGAAGCATCCAAGTGCTTATACACCTCACATATATGACACACCAAATTCATTCATTTAAAAAATGAATTGCGCATTTCATTAAAAAAAACTCAAAATGACAGGAAATGTATTTTTGTTCCACTGGCGGTTTGTATGGCATTGTGTATTTGCTACGACGAGAATAAACTATATATTAGTTATAAAACTGACAAGCTGGAAAATAGAGAGAGCTTATCATAAATCAACTGGTTGGAGGTACCACTCAGCTTGGCATTTGGCAACATTTGATAGTTACAATGTGAGGTGGGAGTGGTGTTGCACACAACGGATGGATTGCCAGATAATACGTTGAGCCTACGGAGACGTTTTGAATACGAAGTAAAATAGGAAAAAGATAAAAGTATAATCTTTCTGAATGTTTGCAGAGAATATCACTGTGGTTTTAACGTCCACCGCAAAGACAGATCGCAGAAGTAGATTGTCAACATAGCCACTAGCCCTGCAGATCAATGCTCGCCAGTAAGTTATTTTAACAGACTCAACAATTTAAATCAATTTCTGTGAAACACTGCTGCTCAGATTCTTAGCGCAAAGGAAACACAATATGATACCGTAGTTATAATCCCACCGTTAGAATAAACAGATACATTGATCAAGACAGGTCAGATTTCCTTCAAGGAATACATTTTCTGTCCACATAGTTTATGCATATTCATCTGTCTCAACACCTTGTGAAGCTTCGGATTTTAACAGAACCAAATGCATCGTCTGTCTCCTTAAGACACAACTCATATTCGTTTTTATATTTTTTCCCTTAATACAACGCAGCTCGTGTATTTATCAGTATTCAAACATCGGTTTGATATGATAATCTAATTTTAAATGTTGATCAAATTTCACATTACATAATGCTGTGATCGTTCAATTTATATATAGCAACAATTAAACGCATGTCCTTAATTCCGGCATATTTAAGCACTGTACAGTTGCATTTCACATCGCATGTAGAAATGCAGTTTCCTTTGACTAAACATGATTAACATCGTTTATTTAACACCCCTTCTCGTTGCGGAAAGTCATATTCTCACTATATATTTCCAACAGTATTATCTACAGCCACAATTGTCATGAGTCGCTTTCAAGTGTGAATAATACTGCATTAACAAATATTTCATGGCAAGTAAAGCAGTAGACCTCAAAAGGGCGGACTGTGTGTTGGTGCCAGAAACAATACGAATGAGACACGGGTAAACATGAGTGACCAAATTACTTCTTCAAATGTGGTGAAATGTTTAGGCAATCGGTTTTTACAGCTTACTCATGTCTGAAATTAACTGGGAGTCAGTCGCAGGCAAAACCGTTTGTCGGTTATTGTTGTTTCTGCATTTTTCATAATCACAAAGTGAAATCGGCTTCTTCATGTAACTGCTCTCTTTAATGTATCATAACTGGATTACGGCGTCCCCCGGTGTGCGACACTATCATTCACGCTGGTTAGCAAAAGCATATGAACCTTCTGCGTTTTACAACCAGTTACCTTGTATTTAGGACACGGTTTAGAGCGAAATCTTCTCTGTTTATTCGGAACGATTCTTTGCAACTGAGAGTGTGGCGGATGATACTTATTTCCCGGGAGATAAAACAAACCCTTGTATAACTTAAACATGTTTAATTCAGTAAACTTCCAGAGCGCCGAGGTTTGGTTTAATAATTCGCAAGTACAGTGGGTAATTGCGGGGGGGGCGGGGGGGGGGGGAGTGCGGAGCAGCAAATAAACTTTGCGGAAGCTTTCCTTTAAAAATGTTTATTCTGGATGAGTGTTCTGAGGAAACAGAGCTTCAGATCTTATAATTACTCCAGTTACACAAACCCATCCCGGAGTCTGTGTACTTGGTGGCTGGTACCCCCCCCCCCCCCGACTGCTTCCGCATTCATCACAAGTTCCTCGCGTTCAAGATGATCTGTTTTTACTCTCAAAATCAAGTTTCCTAGATTTACCCCCCAAAATCCTCAAATTCTATCTCACTCGCCCGATCTCTCCATAAACTACCTTTTAGCACAACCTTTCGGCCGTGTGATTAAATAAACTCGGGCTGGAATATTGAAAAGTCCATCCCCATACTGATTTTCTCTTTTTTTTAAAAAATTTTTTTTTTTTTTTTTTTTTGCAGCCCATAATCGTTACAGTTGGTCTGTGCTGTTTGCATGACTGGGAACTGGCTTGTTAAGTAATAGCTTCCGATAATACCTTATCAGTTTGGGGATCAGGTACAGCAGTCTCTGATAACCCAACTTGACAACAGGGCAGTTCAACAGTCACATCAGGAGCCAACGATTTGCAGGATACAATCAAGTCAAATATTGCCTGGATTGCAGTACCAGCCCTGTCTGCCCTGGATATTTTTTTTGGGGGTTGGGGGGGGGGGGGGGGTGGAAAAAGAGAAAACATTTTAAATGACAACACGATTATTAAAATGACTAAAAACAAATGCATTTTTTTTCACATGTACACAGTGCTGCCGATGTGCCTGTGACCCGCCAGCGATTGGATAAACATTTAATTAACAACGCCTTTAGTCATTATGTCAGCTTTTGCGTGCGGGAGACTGCGCATGTCCCGGAGTCTACCTGCTTTGAAGTTAGGTTCACATGGTCTCCTGCGATCAGTGGACTGTCCTCATTCCCGACTAACAGGATCCTGCGGTAAGGAGCCATCCAGGTTTAACAGACAGCCGAGGAGAGAGCGGCGGCCAGTGCCTGAGAGAGCCACACACACACACACAGAGACACACACACACAGAGCACACACACACACACACACAGACACACACAGACAGACACACACACACACACAGACAGGCACACACACACACAGAGACACAGACACACACACACACAGACACACACAGAGAGAGAGAGAGAGACAGACACACACACACACACAGAGACAGACACACACAGAGAGAGAGAGAGAGAGAGACAGACAGACACACAGAGACAGACACACACACACACACAGAGAGAGAGAGACAGACACACACACACACACAGAGACAGACACAAACAGAGACACACACACAGAGATTGCAACACTCACTCCTCTACAGAGTCGTCCAACTTTAAGCGAGCGACACAGACCTGCACACACCTGGAGTGGGATCCGCTTCTCCTTTCACCAGACTTTCCACCTCCCCCCCCAACCCCCCCTCCCCACAGCCCCTTCCCTCCCCCCTCCCCTCCCCCCCACCCCCCCCCCCCCCCCCCCCCCCCCCGTTTGGATTTTGTGTTTTACACACACGCACGTGAAAAAAAACAACATATTATGAATGCGATTCGCTGACGAGGGCCGAGACCACAGCCCCGAAGTCACCAGAAAGTTTCCGCAGAAGTTTGCGAAGTGCGAGCACCTGCTCCTGGTGCCCTTTGCCGGTACGGTCGGTGCGCGGCGGCATCATGTCCAAACCCGCGGATCACGTCAAGCGCCCCATGAACGCCTTCATGGTCTGGTCGAGGGCGCAGAGGAGGAAAATGGCTCAGGAGAACCCCAAGATGCACAACTCGGAGATCAGCAAGAGGCTGGGAGCCGAGTGGAAACTTTTAACCGAGTCCGAGAAGAGACCCTTCATCGACGAGGCCAAGCGGCTCAGGGCGCTGCACATGAAGGAACACCCGGATTACAAGTACCGACCTCGGCGCAAACCCAAGACGCTGCTGAAGAAGGACAAGTTCGCCTTCCCTATGCCTTACCTGTCGGACCAGGACGGGATGAAGGCGAGCGCCCTGTCCTCGGGGATGATGCCCGACTCCCTGCTCGCCCCCTCGGAGAAAGCCCGGGTGTTTTTCCCGCACGCCGCCGCCAACCAGTACTCCTTCTTCGACACCGGTCACCTCGCCTCCAAAATGGGGGAGATCACGCCGTCCTCGCTGGCGGCCCTGCAGTACGCCTCGCCGCTGACCTACCAAAGCGGGGCGGCGGCGGCGGCGGCGGCGGCGGCCGCGGCGGCGGCGGCGGCTTTCGGCGGCGCTCACACCCACACCCACAGCCACCCGTCCCCCGGCAACCCGGGCTACATGCTGCCGTGCAACTGCGCTGCCTGGCCGGGCTCGGGGCTGCAGCCCCCCCTGGCTTACATCCTGCTGCCCGGCATGAGCAAACCCACCCTGGAGCCCTATCCCGCCTACGCCGCTGCCTTATGACAGGAGGCGAAAAGTTTCCTCTGATGTTTTGACACCAGAACCGCACATCTGCTTCGAGGAAACGAAAGGTACACCGAAGAACCACCAACTAGAAACTGTAGTGACAACGATAGCTCTTCTAATCGCCGTGTTAACATATCCGCGCACACGATCATCCCGGAGTGAACGAAAGGCTATCCCCCACCCCACCCCCCACCACCATCCCCCCCCCCTCCCCCTCCCGGACAACCTCTCTCAAATTACCATCCAACAAGAAAAAGTTCAGTGCTTTTTTTTTAAAAAAAAAGAGGAGAAAAGGACTGTAGCTTTATAACACCGATGGATTGCTAAATCTTGTGCGTCGTGTGCATTTCAAACCACAGATTGGATCATCGACCAGAAGATAACTGCTCAATTTCCGCAATTACACTGTGGCACTACTGGAGTCCGAGGAAGTAAATGTGTAGAGAATCACAGAGGACGGATTCCTGAATGTTGTACATAAATAAATACATCCCTGAAGTAGACAGCTATCATGTCTGTGCACATGATAAGGCAAAGCCTGAACTGACGACTTCCAACCCAAATTGTAAATGTGCGTGTAAAAAAAAATCAATATTGTTTCTATTAACTGTTGCACAACACAGTGGGACAAGTTCAACGTCAACTTCTGTCGTGAAACCACAGAAGACAATAGAAAAGAGTTGAAAAGGACTGATTGTACATTTTGTAAATATAGTAGCTCTTCCCTATGGATAGTTAACTAGAGTTGCTGCTCCACAACCCGAATGAACCACACCTGGATTGCTAAACACATTTGTAGCAGTCTATCTGAAACAGAAGTTTGAAAGGACTGTAAATCTGTACATTTCGGTGAATTGAACTGAGTGTTTGCTGTTGCATGATTATTTTTAAAAAATTTTATTTCCACCCTCGACTCGGTCTTCGTCTGGCATACTTGACTTTTTGGGTTCAATGCAAACTTACTTCAATGTATCTTTAGAGCCGAACAAAAAGAGATAGAGGCACCGTTTCAGTGTGAATTCATTCCTGTTTGGGCTGCCTGACATGTATTTATTGCTCAGTTAAACATACAGCAATTACTTTTGCATTCCTCACCCCTCGGATAGGGAACTATGCTCAGTCCTATCGATTTTGCACATTAAAAGGTAATATCGGACCTCCGTGGTCAATATACTGTAAGGATGAAAAGAAGTGCAAATAAATAGGATATACGTTAAACATTCAATGTGCACTATACTTAATGGAATAACTGTAAAGTTTTAGACTAGAGACATTGCTGTTGAAGTTCTACATGGCAGTAATGTGGGCCACACTACAATGACCTCTGACACTGCCATCTAGTGCTACTCGTTATTTTTATTACTGTTTGTATTATTGGTGCAACAAAGCGACTTCCGAGTCATAACAAGTGCTAAGTTTATTTTTTTTCTCTTGGATTGAACACAGGAGATGAGATCGATACTTGCTCGTCAAAATCATGCCTTTTGTTTTCAAAGAAACGATCCGTGATACACGTGTAACCGACATGAACGGCATTTGATATATAACAACACAATCAAACCCACAAGTTGCAATATTATCTTTTTAAATGTAAAGTGCTGCTCAGTGTCTTTGGGTTTTATCGATGCAGAATCTAGCATTTTTGATTTTTCGTGTTGCTGGTTCTCAAAGCAGCAATAATCCGTTTGACGTAAACCTGGTATTATTCACTTTTTGTATTTCTTTTAGAAGCCACATGAATTCAATATAGCTGGTATGTTGTTTGCTGGTTTTGTGTGTATTTGGAGCGTTGCGTGGTTCCAGCATGTTATTTCTTAAAATGTTGGCGTTTCTGTAACATAAAAAAAAACGTTTTTAAAGTATGAGTTTCAACGAATCTCTATGAAGTTCTAAAAAAAAAGTGTGGTATTTTTTGTTTCTAATTTAAAGTGGGCGCTGAAATACTTGGAATCTTTAGGGTCTGATGGATTATAGCCCTGTTCATTTGTTGAACACAGCGTTTTAATAAAGAAGAAAACACACCAAAAAAAAAATCGAGGTCTTGTTGTATTACTAACACGATTTGTATCTGAATTGCCCTTACATACTTGGTCCAGGTGAAATGTAAGGTATCCTCCAAAGGATGTCTTTGTTAGTGCTTTGAATAGAATTACTGGGAAATCTAAATCAAACCATTGTTACAAAGAGCAAAAACCTGCTTTATCGCATTTTTATCGTGAATAGGAAAGAAGATAAAACCATTCCGTTGTCTTTCCCTAAAAAATATTCACGGTTCGTAAAAGAGTAGCCCGGCCGAACACACAGCTGCTGTTCAGGAGAACAGATAGTTCATTGATTCAAGTAACATTTTAAAGCTGAATTTAGCTATCGAGTCGATCTGTTGGTGTAGTTTCACTGGTTAAATCCTTGTAATTCTTTGCAGTGCCCGGGGCTCCTTCTCATTTACACCTTTGTGCTTTTACTTCGCTTTACGATCGTATTCACCAGTTATTGTGAAGAGGCGAGAGAAGAGCAGAGGTTCCCTTTCACTCAAAACACCTCTTTATGTAACTTGTACACAGTAAAAAAAAAGTTAAGAGACTTTCAGTAGCACATTTCCCTGCTTCGGAAAGAAATATAGATTTGTTTTGTTTTGATGGAAAAGATTAAACTTATAGCCAGTGACCACTCACGATGGGGTGTTGTGCATTGTGTCTTTTTAAGATTTATTGGGGGTTTGTAAATGCGAAAGCTGCAGAAAACAAGTTTTAAAAATTAATTTAGTGGTACTCAATTCCAAGAAGTCAAGTATGAAATGTTCTATTTGTATGCAGGAATAATTGTAGCAGGGAAATACTGTATTTATAATCCAGCAGGCATATTAAATCCTTGTAGCTGTGCTGCTTATCAGCAATGACGTGTTGGTCAGCCTGTGTGTGTGTGTCTGTGTGAGAGAGAGAGGACCATATTTCCAGTCACCTATTAATAACGTCAATACGAGAATGGGAAAACAGGAATAAATAGTCATTTACTACATTTTGTTTTCTGACAAGACGACTTTGCACAGACTTGAAGTGAGCAATTAATTTCAGTTTGGAAATTTTCAACTGAATGTACCATAAAGCTCTTAGACCAGTAATGAAAATCTATTTCTCATTCTTTTGTATTGAATATAATGTAGGTCTCTCTTTTTTATTAAGGAGGTAAGTAATCATGGAGCGTTTGTGATTGGAAGATACATTTCAATTAATTCTGCCACAATCGTCTAATCTTTTTCTTCATCAAAAGCTATTATGGTGTTAAAATTAACAATTATGCAACCAATGTCTGTCTGAATCCACAAGGGGACGTCGAAAAAGCTTCAGATAACACGACACGTATAAATCATTCATGAGAACAATTCATGTAAGAAAAGTTATCTGTGTTTTGAATGACATTGGAAGAACTAAATGGAACTCGTTCTGTGAAGGGACATTTTAACGTCATTGTCCACCCAGGTCTTTTCGCTTTTATTTCAGTGTAATATACATTTTCGAAATTAATTAACCATTAACAGCAAGATAAATGTTTCTCCTTTGTGTCAGCGAAACAGTCGCCTCGTTGGTGAAAGATTATTTCACTTGAGCAGCACCGTTAAAAAAAAACTGTTGTCAGATAAGGTGCAGAGTTGTCCTTTAAACTGGAATTAAACGTGCTGACAGATGGATGGATGGATATTTATAAAAAATGAACACAAAATGCCTAGAACCTGGATATTTCTTCCACTCCAGAATATCCACCGCAGTTTATCCCCTCGGAGTACTGCTTGTTAAAAGGATCGGTTGTAAATAATAGGTATAACATCAGCAACATGAAGTCCATTCGCTTCCCTGCTGACACATTTCAAACAAATGCTTTTTTTCATGTTAGGCGATATGCAAACCTTTTTTTTCATGCCTCAAAACATTAATTGAGCCAATACAACAATACATTAAATGCTAGACCTTGGTACAGTATTTCTATGCAGGCTATGTCTTCAAACATAAATTTTCACGTTTTCCTGCCAGTTTCTTGCAGCAATGCTCCCAATTGTCAATTTACTACAGAAATCAGCAAGGGTTAAAATAGCTGTAGCTTTAAAAGTGTATGTAATCACATTACTTTAGTCAACCCTCTTTTAGTCTCCCACCAAGAAAAACAATCTTCCAAAATAAGAATCTGAGAAATGCATCACAAAAATAAATGTTGATACCAAGCAGCTTGTTCACACATGTTATGTACACAGGTTGATTCAAAAATCATTAAACTATGTTTTAAAAAATCAGAGCATTATTATGCAGTATTATGTAACAGACAATGGACACAAGGGATGTTAGAATCTAATTTAAAGGTTTAGAAAACGCTTCAAGCTTTTAATTCATGATTAAAATGACAGCGGGAACCTTTGATTGTATATATCCTCATGATCTCTATCTGCGACACATTTATGTACAATATACATCGGAAAATGAGCACTCTAATAGAATAGAATGCAGCATTTAGGAAACCACACGTGTTATGATGTGCTGGTTGGTTACTTTGCTTTTATTGAATTAGATCTCTGCATTATAAATTATTTTAGTGATTAATGTGCACTGAACCAAACCCAAACGAAAGGAAACCAACATTAAGGGATGTTTCATGTCAGGGTCTATTTGATCAAATGCCACCATAAACCTGATATTGAATTCAAAACCAAATATCCCCAATTCCAGTCACCAAATTATCTGCTGTACTGCTTAATGATTTTCCCACCACATCAATTGCCACATTCTTCTGCCAGATGTCCTGACTGCCACGAGATTTAAATTAAAAGAGAGCATTGGCCAATGCCAGTGATTCTTGCATAAAATATTGCAAGCATGAAGGTGGCAGCGTCAGCTTCAGCTAAAAAGAACCAGAAATACAATATGAGGAGCTTGTCTCTGTTCAGTCAAATACATTCAAATGCTGAGCTCCAGTTGCAACATTGAGTCTTAGTAGACCACCTGTTTTATAAATGTTCTTCATACCATCAAAAGTGAAGTTGCCCTGCAAATCTAAACAAGCATAATAAAGTGAAGTCAGCAGCGTAATAAAAATACTACTGCTATTACTTTCGTATTAGAAGAGCAACGTTTAAAAAGCCAAATCCAGATTAGAGAGCCAATGAGTAGCTTCGGAAGTGCCTTGGTGTAAAAAGTCATCATCA